TGATGTTGTAAATAAATAATAATTAGATTTCAAATGTTTCTACACTAAATTAACTGATAAATGCTAGAAAAATAGCGTATTATATTTTTTTTATTTAATAAATTCTATCGATTTATTTAGATTCAAAAACAATAAATTCATTATCTCTTATTAAAATCTCATAAAACTATTTAAATCTAATTAAAATATTTGATTTTTTCCCAATAAAATTTCATACAATATTAGACAACTAATCAATTAGCAATAAAAGTGAAAATTTCTTGTAAACTCTTTTAATATTATAAGCTTAAAAAATTGTTATTTGCAAATCCATTATTGATAACAATGAAAACGAACAAATCATCAATTTACTTCCATAATTAAAATTACGAATAATTATTGAAATTTAATTTAGAATTTTGAAAAATACTGAAAAATTCTCACTCATTTAATTATAACTTTCCAATTATAGCACTTTGTTTCAAATTTATCCTAATTCTGTTGCAAAGCAAGATTTCATCGTGTCCTCATAATTGAAGCTCCGCCCTAGAACTTTGTACTTTTTCATCATCATCATCATCAACGGTAAACAAGTGACACATTCGGATATTGTTTGAAAGTGTATTGGCGACATTTTTCCTCTATCAATCTTTTTTTTATTTTTTTTTTTACTTCTTTATTTTTTTAAATAATTGAATGTTTAATCGCTTTTAATTTCTTTTTCAATCAATTATTTTAAATAAACAAATATTTTAATTTTTGTTTCAGAAATACTCAGTTAAATTCAACATTCTGATTATTAGAAATTTATGGGTGGAAAAAAAAACACGAATACACAGAATATCATTTGCAATTTTAAACAACGCGTACTGTAATATTATCTATTCCAGTATGAAGTAATTATATACTATTCTATATCATTATAATATTATATATTATGTTGTTTTTGGATGAAATTACATCAATACGTAAATTATTTTTGTAAGAATTGAACGAAATCTTCAAATAATGGATTTATTTGGCATTGATGATTTTTTGCCTTATTCGAATACATTACTGTCACAGAAAGCAAAAGAATTATCACAACAATCATTTCATCATCATGATGATCATGATAATCACCATTATCATCATCATTGTCATTGTCTTCAACGACAACAATATAAGCAACAACAACGACAACAACAGCAATATCATCGACATGATATTCGTCAATCAAAACCTCAACCATCTTACATTGGCCTTATTGCAATGGCAATTTTAAGTTCCACGGAGCAAAAAATGGTACTTTCTGAGGTTTATCAATGGATTATTGATAATTATCCATATTTTCGGACACGTGGTGTTGGATGGCGAAATT